GCCTGCAACGGAGCCTACCAACAACAGGTAATCAACTGCTACAGTAGGTAAAGCTACTCTGTTAGTAACAACTTTCCATTCAAAGGTAAGAGAAAGCGATGAGCTCCACTTCACGCTCTGAACAGCCAATGGCCTGTTTCCACATCAGAAGCTGCGCAGAGCATCCATCACCTCAGTAGGACTCCTGCTTACACAAGCTGCCCACCTTCACAGGAACAGGATTTGGAGCCCAGTTCAATATTCACAATTGCCTAATGAAAACCGTATTGATCACCAAAAAGAAAACCCCAACAGCCCTGAAATAAATTTGCTATAGCTACGGGTTCAAGTGGAAGACCAGAAGCAATGGGACTATGAAAGCAAAAAGGCTAAATTTTATAAATGTTTCCTACTACATACAAGAACAAATGCAGGATGTGATGTTTGCTTAGTTTTATTAATTTATTTTTGCAGGAATCTGCAACTCGGAGTATGCACTTTCTGGAGGTACCATGCATGCATAGCCTCTGAATGCTTTTATACAATTTCATCTCTTAGTAGTAAGTTCATTCACAGCATACACAAATCTAGAATGTAGACATCATATATACAGGATTAAACAAGATCGTGTCTTCTTTTAATGAAAAAATTTAACAGGGTTTCACACAGCAGGAAATATGGATTAGATACACTGGTGCCACCATAAATAAATAAGTTTCAAGAACACAGTTTTTTAAAATCGGTTTCAAAGGTACTGAAAACCCAGGATTATAATATTGCATTAACTCCATTGATTTTTGATTACTCAAAACCAAGAAAAATATTCGCATTAATATTTATGGACATAAACAGCAATGAAAGCCCAAAACTGAAGAAATCTGGCAAAATTCAGTCATGGCTAGCTTCATATAATATTGACATTTTGAAACGAAACAAGTGCAGCAGCACATAGAGACAGTACTGACTATGAGATGTGATATCTGTGCATGTCATCTTTCTTTACGGGATTTAGAGTCACTGTAGTACAGAGCACATAAATTCTGTGGTGCCAAACAAGCTGATGAATTGTTTATGTCCAACTGTCCACTTCTCCTCAGGATAGTCATTTTCACATTCTAGGGTATACCACTGATTTTTAAAACAAAAAAAAACTATCATCCTGATGACAAGCTTGTTTTTAACATATTTAATGTTCTCACATTCTTTTTCAAAAACATTCTTTATTGTTTTTATTTTCTTTTGTCCCCATTTCAACTCAAGTATTTTTATTTCAGTTTCAAGGGTTTTTTTTTTTTTTTTACAATCAATATTAAATGTAAAAGTATTTAGAAATTGAAATGAGAGATGTATAACTGGGACAGATAAAGTAACTGAAAGAAAAGTTGTTGTGTTTTTTTTTAAAAAATGTGATTTAGTAGCATATCATAATCAGAAAGTACTGAGACCAGCTCCTTTAAGAATTATTACACCTTTTCACCACACCTCCCATTTTTCAAGGGAAACACACACACACACCACAGACACACAGATACACAATTCGATCTAAGACTACATTTTACAAAGTACTTCCTTTTGCTTGACTTCCCACCCCTTTCCTCTTCACCCAAACAAGACTAATAATTACATCAAATTAAAAGCAGATCCAAAGTTCAGGATTTCTTTTGGTTTACTATGTTGTGAATCATTTTCCACAAGCCCCACTCTAAATAAATTTTTAAAGAACTACAGTAGTATTCTATAATTAAAGGGAATTCATCTTAATAGCACAGTAAATATAAAATAAGCTTTATAAAATTTCAATGAACAGTGAAATAATTTTGAATATCTGAATGTCCAAGTCAAACTCTACCACTCTAGTAGCATGGTTGAGGGAAAGCTCAGTCATTAAGGAAAAAAAGAAAACACAAGTAGTGCATTAACTCAACACAACGGCATCAGCATCCCACCATTCACACAGACACAAAAGTTTTATACAATACAGTGCATTTTGTATGCCAGCTGACATTAGGGTTTTATGTGCATTCAATAAATATTACATAAACCAATCTTTTTGGCATAATCTACAATTCAGTTGGGGTGTGAACAGCGTCACCTGCTTTCAGAAGGAAAATGGATCTTCCAATATTCAAAATACGATTTACATTCTAACAAACTAAAAATATTCAAGCACCATGTAAAGTCTTTCCTATTAATGTCTGAGTATGGGCATTTACAAGTAAAAGAATACAACATAAGGGTGGTGGTGGTTTGTTTTTTTTTTTTTATACAAGCAACAAATGAGAGCAATTGAAAAACTGGAGTAAAATTATCGGTACGAAGGAATCCATTTGCAATTTAATGGCACTCATTCAGTTTTCCAGAATGCATCTTACTGTCACACGGCAGCCTTCCTTCTCTTCCTCTGGTGAAGCTACGACTAAGATTACCAAGTCTCCATTTATGGTTATTACAGTTCAGGGAAATATTGGACTGCATGCATTTCCACCCCCCCACCCCCCCTTCAAAAGTAGCATATATTCTGTCTGAAAATGGCACAGCTGTATTGATGCGTGACACAACTACTCTCATTTGCTGTCATTTCAGTTGCTATCGATCATTTTGTAATTCCAGCAAAAACAAATGCTTCTAGAACTTCCGCAGAAGTACATATGAACAGAAAATTTAAATAATACAAAGGCAAAGGCATCACGATAGAAAAGTCATGAAGTTACTGGTATTGTTTTGAGTAATTCATTATACAGCTGATAACAGCAATGGTACTGCTTATCCTAGGTATAACTCTTCTGCTCATCTGCTTTCTCGTTACCTTGGTTTTGTCAGACTGTCCACTTACATAAATAAAATCAGTATTTGCCTTCCAACTTCACGTGACAGTTATTTTTTTTACCCTTTTCCATATGGGAAGGGACTAATTCCAATGCCTTTGACTTTGTTTTGCTCATCAGTGGTGCACACTGATCGCTGGAGATCTCTTAGCTTATTTAAAATTATGCTGAAGATTCAACTAGTGCAAGAACATACTGAAAAATGCCAGATAAAATATTGGTTCCTCATCTAAGATCACAGTTTGTTTTTTACTGTTATCTTTATAAACTGCAGAGAGAGAAGACACCAGATCGAGCAATGCAGTCAAGATGAGTTTTCCACTACCCAACCCTTACAAAGGCTGCTTGATTTTACATAAGGATTCAGACATGATTGTTCTACCACAGCTTAACATGTTATCACACATCAAGTGAATTGTGATAATTGACCATATGGATGTGGCTGCCATGAGCTAATAACAATTTAAAATGAAGTAGCTTAAATCTCTTCTGATAAGGTTTAGCTAGCACATTTTGCCTCATGGTTGCAAAGTCAATTACTATAACTCAGCTGACGTGCTTGGTTGTGTCTCCAAATCTTGACACAGTTATACCGTAAGAACTCAAATGCACTGTACCAGCTTCTGACCAGTACACAAGAACATCCTGCTCAGTCACGCAGTTGTGTAACATAATCATTCAGCTGCCCAAACCCAAGATCGATTTCACAGGTATTGAGTGCTTTATTACAGCAACCTGAAGCATTCAAACAAATTGAACATCACCTTTATAATACAGTATATCATATGCATAAAAGTACCAGTACGATTTTCAGTTGCAAGTCTTGTGTTCTTCAACTACAGCAAATATTTCATGACCAAAATAAAAAGAATGCAGTGTGTAATTTTTCAGGATCTGGCATCTGCTCTTTTATGCAGGCTGGTTTATTAACAATGTGCAAATAAACCTTTACTGAAGAGCTAACTGATTAATTTTTTTTCAGCTAACTTTGAACTGGGGCACAAAGTACCTTCTGTGCTGTAAACATCATCAATTCTTCACAAATTGGAAGCTGAAAAGGCCTAAGGAACTGGGTACAAACTCTTCTCATACACAACCATGGCTGAGCTCAAGTCTTCCAAACCAAATTTGCAGTAGTCTGTGTTTGGCGTATGTCACTGTGCTGCTACAGAGCACAGGCTTAGAAAATTGTTGTATATAAAAGCATACTTTTAGCTTTGAAACACAAAGGCCTAATGAAAGCATGCAGCAGTATTTTCATCTGTAATACGGTAGAATTCATTCTTAGTTTATTACCAGTGTTGACACAGCCAGGTGAGCACTGTACAAGCAAAAGGGATTGTAAAAAATTACCTCTGATTAAACTCTCTGTAACACTCATACGGTATCTCATTTAGTCACCTTAGGTTACTATTTCAAACAGCAATTTTTTTGTAGACATAAGTTACCCTGAAAAAAAGCAGCAATAACAAATACCCTTCTCCTTGTTTGTTTTATACATTGCAAAATTTATCATTGCATTTACCTGTCTTCTTTTTCAGTAGCTTACAATCTAGAAGCACAGGGAGCCTTTGTTTTCCAGCTAGCTGTGGCCAGGTTAAGTCAGCTCTGGCTCTTCAGATTTTGTGGTTAAGTGTAACATTTCACACCATTACTAAGAGTCCTATAATTTTTTTTTAAAAAACAGTTTGGTTTTCTTAGAGCCACTAAGCAGTATCTATAACCACAGGACTAAACACCAGTAGTTATTTGCTTTCCTGTATACATTCTTCCCAAAATTAATCCTTTTACATTTTCAGGTTTCATTTTCTGCTTTGCTCACTGCAATGGGATAAGAAAGAATTTCACCCTTAATTTATTTACTTTTAGTGTAGCACAAGCAGAAACATCTTAACACGTTACTCCCACCCCTTGCAATATGAAGATTGTTGACGGGCAAAGGCTGGGCAGATGGACTGAAAGGTTCCCCATGTTTCCTTCTCCTACATCTGTCGGCTTAAGAGCCTGTTTTCAACCCAACGCAGCCCCTTCCTGATTTTCAGGTGTATCGTGGCATTTCACACTGCTCACAGCGATTTAGTGCTGGATGATTTAGAAAGGTGCAGCTATCACAATTCCATGGAGCCCCTTCAAAGTCTTCATCTCTCGGTTGAGTCCGTGGAGTCTGTTTGGAGCTGGTTTGATGCTCTAAAAAAAAGCCAAAGGAAAACATTTTTTCTTATTTCAGAAGAGAAGGATGATAGGCAAGATCATACTACTGGTTTGTCACTTCACTAAACACTCTAGCCTAAATCAAAAGTGGAAACCTTTACACTTCGGTAACATTAAAGGTCTTTTGCTAAAGCATTTCTAATTCAGTCTGTGAATATTTAAAGCATTTCACTTCTGTAAAGGGTCACTTAACCACATTACATAAAAACCAAAAAAGCAGTCACCACTGTTAGGTCACCGATACTGCTAAAGGTTAAATAGTTCAAAACGTACTGAAAAGTTTGTTACTGGCACTGCAACACCATCCTGTTAAGGAATTACTTCAGGGGTTTACGTACAGCAGTCACCGAATTCTAAATTCCAATAACCCTACTTTACCTGAAGTGAAAGACTACTTGTAACTTAGTTCCTTCAAACAGTCTGACAGATGATATATTTTCTGCATCTTTTTCTAGCATTTATCCAGGCTGAAGAAAATACAATATAAAAATAAAATGGTAGGCCTGTTTCAAAACAAGATGATGGTTATTCTTATGGCTTTGCAGCAGGGATGTGCGTGTGTGAAGCAGCGGTCTGTTTTCATTCATAAAATCCGTATGTATGCAAATCATACATTAGATATTAACCCACAGAGAGACTCAGTTTTCTGACATCTCCTACCACTACTTCAAGACCTCAGGTTATCTACTAAAAGTGACAAATACTCCTAGGATGTTGAAACACAACATTTTACAAAATGTTAATATTTGAAAAAACATTAGCACACATACCTAGAAGGTGAGGTTAAGATACCCATCTGCTACAGAAACATCTGTAGAACAGTTTAATTGAAAGAGAACTTAGGTTGTAAAATATGTCTGTCCAAGTGCACATATTGCTGTCATCTGCTAAGAAATGTAGCAGATGGCTGATGACAAAGTGCAAATAGTACTTAGGTTTGTCTTCAGAGACATACTAAAAGAAAATAAAGTAACCTCCTCCTTTAGATGTAAACCTTCTCCAGTCCAGAAGTTGTGCAGTCACATCAACAGTGCTTGGCCTCGACAAACTCCTTCTAAGCAAGTAGTGTGGGCACTGGACTGCATTCATGTTGACCAGCCAGACGGCAGCACAGAGCAGACCATACCTGTCTGTCTGCCGATGCCTGAATATTCAACAGCTGAATATTAAGGAAATGGAATTTTTTAAGAAGAAAAAATATTTTTACAATTCCATGTTAAAAGCCAAGCTCAGAATACAGCACACCAGACCTAAAACTGATCTGTAGTAAGCTGACAGACAAAACCGTGAAGTTAGTCATAAAAGTCGCACAAATCCTTACAAAACACTACCTTTCCAACTGCCAAATAAAATCACTTATTTCATGCAAGTTTTGCATGTTATTTTGCTTTGAAATAATAAATCCAATAGGCTAGTGTAATTAAGATAATCTCTTCAAGCATCACAAAGCAGCAGTGCCTTAAATCAACCACACGACCACTGCAATTTAACATGAATCCAGGCAGCTGCCTTCATACCACTGCTCACCTGCTGCTACTGTCTTTCCTAGACACTATCACCTAATGCAGGCAACATATCCCAGTACTGGGGTTTTTTTATGAACCATGAGCAGTAGTTATGGGACTTCTCTTTCTTTTAAATTTCCACATACTAAGTATTTTATTATATCAAAGGGTAAAATACTTGCTTCAAAAGAGGGGGAAAAAATTCCTTGTATGAATTCAAAATTCAGCTGCAAAAAAGCTTTGTGAAGTGTTTATCAGCAATTAGAACTTATTTACGAAATTTGGATTTTCAAGCAGACTATATGATTACTGATTCAGAAGAGTGACTTCTTTTCCACTAACAATTTTAGTGCATGCTAGTTACTGTAAGAGGAAACACAATATTATAAATCTTATCATACAACATTTTCAGAGAAGAGACCACTGTTTACTCTAGAGCACAGGATCCTAGACTGGCTATTTCAGCAGAAAGATACAAAGTGTTTAAACACTGCCAGTAACATTTGAAACCATTCTTTTAAGAGATTTCAGGAAGCAAGAGAAAAAAAAAAGGTCCAAAAATACCCGAGACAAAAGGTAGGATTCTGCTCCAAAACCACCACTACATGTAGTGGTGTTCAGAGAGCAACTCAGCTACACGGCCACTGGGTGTCTACTAATGGTGAGTTGAGTCATGTACTGACTGAATCACCACTGAGCAAAAAAGTGAGACTAAACACACAGTGCCTGTGCTGATGTCAAACTTCAGTGTCCTCAGCTGGATGTGAATCCTAGATACTATACAATTAGCACAGACAATTTTAGAAACCAGTAATGAACTTGTACAAGTGCGACACTTATCTCTTTAGACCGATGTGAGGAAATGTGTTCTGTCTCGGTCCTTAAAAAGTCTGAAGCTCTTGCTATGCTAAAACTTTGGGGCTACTGTGAAATTCATGCTCTACACAAAAAATAGGTAAAGTGTGACCATTCAAGTTTAATTATATTTTAAAATAGAAATGCAAATTTTAAAAAGCTGCTGTCACCTATTAAACTTGCATAAAAAATTCCAACTAAACTATAAAATGCTAACAATACATATTAGAAGACAGCTAAACAAACCTGACACAGAGCTTTTAACATAGAAGTATTTTTTTTAAAAAAAAACAATTAGGAAAGTCCAGTTAACATATAAAAGTCTGTATACTTTCAACTCTTTCTACTAGTGAATTTCTAGTAGTATTCTACTAGTATTTACAAACAATCTATTAACAGAACATTCATTTGCAACAACCTGTTTGAGGAAAACAAATTGTAGCCAGGATTACTGCACTTACATAAACATGTTCTGGTTTGGTTCGCATACAGTAAAAAGTTATAATTAGAATTGCTTCCTGTCATCACAGGTGGTTTTTTTTTTTTTAAAGAAGGAAAAAACCCAAAGCTTTTTCAATGCAGATTAGCTAACTTGATGCTTGTTTGTTGACCTACCCTTTTTATATGGCTTTGGTGGCACAACAGGACCAGGCTCTATGTTATCATAGAAGTTACACGTGGCTTTCGGATCAAAGTTCCCTGTCAGAAAAGAAAAGTAATAAAGTGTAACTCCAAGGTTATTTACATGCCTATGCCAGTGATCTGAACATCTATAGGCTCCAGATTTTATACATCTTTTTATTATGACATTATAAATCAGCTTTTTCCTGAGTAGCCTTTTGTCACATATTTTCAGTTTTGTGTTGATTCTAGTAATTTTTAGCAGGCTAATCTCATGTTGAAGAATCAACTCCAGCTCAGCATTCTGTATTGCTTCAAAAAAATGTGAAAATATAAATCTTTCTGCAGTACACATTCTTGGTAAAAAAGAAAGACTATGCATATTCTAATCTATTTGACTGTATTTATGTCAAGTTTCTGTTGCACAAAGAGGATTTTTAAAGACCTAAGTAGATTTCTGTTTGTAAACTTCTTGGGTGCAACCTGTAGTTCTCTTTTTTATTACCTGGTCAGAGCCTCTGTCAGCAAAAAGTTTAAAAATTAAGTAAAGAACTTTCACTAAGGAGTATTTTTTTAAAAAATTTGCTTTCTTGGTAATGTAATTTAACTTGGCCAACAGAAATATTACCAAGTCAAGTTTATCAGGTTGCAACTGAAAAAGCACCTTTTAGAGATAAGTTGATATTGATAATCAAAACCGAACTTCAAAGAGTCCAAGTATCCACATCTAAGCACATACTATATTAGAATCATAGAATTGTTCAGGTTGGAAAAGACCTTTAAGATCATCAAGTCCGACCGTTAGCCTAACACTGCCAAGTCCAACCACTAAACCATGTCCCTAAGCACCATATCTACACATCTTTTAAATACCTCCAGGGATGGTGACTCAACCACTTCCCTGGGCAGCCTGTTCCAATGACTGACAACCCCTTCCCTGAAGAAGTTTTTCCTAATATCCAATCTAAACTCTCCTGGCACAACTTGAGGCCATTTCCTCTTGTCCTATCGCTTGTTACTTGGCAGAAGAGTCCAACCCCCACCTGGCTACAGCCTCCTTTCAGGTAGTTGTAGAGAGTGATAAGGTCTCCCCTCAGCCTCCTGTTCTCCAGGCTAAACACGCCCAGTTCCCTCAGCCGCTCCTCATATGACTTGTGCTCTAGACCCTTCACCAGCCTCATTGCCCTTCGTTGGACATGCTCCAGCACCTCAATGTCTTTCTTGTAGTGAGGGGCCCAACACTGAAGACAGTACTCAAAGTGTGGCCAACTCCTGCCCAAACTGGTGTCAACTGCAACATGCCTGCCCATATTTAAATTATGGTTTTTAAAAAAAAAAATCAATTCTTTACCTCTAGATTGAAGGAGATCAACTTCTTTCAGTGTACAGTCAACATCTATCTGGAGCTGCCTGTTGCGGCTTCTCAATCTGGTCATTTCCTCAGACTAGAAAGAAACAACCCAAAATAGTAATTGTGGGAAAGTCAGTATCTCATCTGACATAGAAATAACATTGCTGTATCTTCGTTAACAACTATTAAAAACCGAGTATAGATAAGGCACAGAAAAAAATAGTCAAGATTCCACTGTCTATCCTGTCCCCTCTACCCAATTTACTCCCTCAAAAAACATTCTTGTATTGGCATTTAAGGAGGAAAACAAACCACACCAACAAAAATGAACAAGTCGGTATTAAAATTCATTAGTAAGAAGACATAGCTGAGCTCAAGTTTATAAAACCATACACCTTATAAAATTCTGTATAAATTGATGCCTCGCTACATAAGTTTACATCAAGATGATCAGGAAACAGAATACAAACTGCAGTTCACATTAATTATTGCTTGATTATAACTGAATAAGGTCAGGAGTTTGTTTATTAGTATCACCTCAAGGAGCCATAACCTTCTAGCCCTGTACATTTAAATCGTTCAATGCTGCAACACAGTAATTATTCTTAACAGAATAATCAGTTATTTAAGTCTATATATTTGGATATCATTAAGAAACCCTGGGTTACTGGAAAACAAAGTGTTTCCAATGCTAGCAGCAGTGATTATTAACATGTATGAATAACTATCCTATCCTAGGATGCATTCCAGCATCACAGAGTCACAAAAATCACAGAATGTTTGAGGTTGGAAGGGACCTCTGGAGGTCACCTGGTCCAACCCCTCTGCCCAGATGGCTTTTGATTATCTCCAAGGATGAAGACTCTACAACCGCTCTGGGCAACCTGTGCCTGTGCTCAGTCAACCACACAGTAAAAAAAAATGGTTCCTGATGTGCAGAGGGACCCTCCTGTGTTTCTGGTCATGTCACTGGGCACTAGTGGAAAGAGTCTTATTCCATCTCTTTGTGCCCTCCCTTCGGGTACTTATATACATTGATAAGATCCCCCCAAGCCTTCTCTTCTCCAGGTTGAACAGTCCTACCTCTCTCAGCCTGTCCTCATAGGAGATATGCTCCAGTTCCTTAATCACCTCTGTGGCCCTTCACTGGACTCTCCAGTATGACCATATCTCTCTCTTGTAGTGGGGAGCCCACTCTTGGACACCATACTCCAAGTGTGGCCTCACCAGTGCTGAATAAAGGGGAAGGGTAACCTCTCTCTCTCCTGGCTGGCAACACTCCAAATGCAGCCCAGGATATCATTAGCCTTCTATGCCACATTACTGGCTCATATTCAGCGTGGTCTCCACCAGGACCACAAGGCCTTTTCTGCAAAACTGCTTTCCAGTTGGTCGGCTCCCAGCTTATGGGAGCATGGGGTCGTTCCTCCCCAAGTGCAGGACTTAGTACTTCCCCTTGCTGAATGCCATGAGGTTCCTGCCTGTCCATTTTGCCAGCTTTTTGAAGTCCCTCTGAATGGCAGTACAACTCTCCCAGTTTTGTGTCATCAGCAAACTTGCTGAGGGTACACTCTGCCTCATCATCCAGATCATGAAGGAAGATGTTAAATGGTGTCAGATCCAGTACTGACCCCTGTGGTACACCACTAGTTACTGGCCTTCAAACAGACTTTGTGCCACTGATTGCCATACTCTTGGCCTGCCTGTTCAGTCAGTTCTCAATCCACCTCATTGTCTGCTCATCCAGCCCATATTTCATCAGCTTCTCTATGAAGATCTTACAGGAGACAATGTTCAAAGCTGTGCTGAAGTCTAGAAAGATAATCACTGCTGTCTCCTCATCTACCAGGCCAATCTTTTCATCCCAGAAGTTTATCAAATTGGTTGAGCCTGACTTCCCCTTTGTGAATCCATGCTGACTACTGCTGATCATTTTTTTTGTCCTTCATATGCTTGGAAATGGTCTTCTGGATTAGTTGCTCCATCACTTTCCTAGGATCAAGGTGAGGCTGACCAGCTTGTCAGCCTGGGTCCTCCTTCTGGACAAAAGGAGTGACATTTGCTCTCCTCTAGTCTTGGGGCACTTCTCCCAAACACTATAATCAATCAAAGATTATCTGGAGCGGCTTTGCAATGACATCTGCCAGCTCCCTCAGCACTTGGGTGCATCCCATCCAGGACCATAAGCTCATGCATGTCCGCTTTGCTTAAGTATTCCCTGACCTGATCCTCTTCCACCAATGGTACACCTTCCTTGCTCCAGACTTTTCCCTGGGTCTCTGAGACTCAAGATTCCTGAAGGCCTGTAAAGACTGAGGCAAAGAAGGCGTTCAATATCTCAGCCTTTTCCACATCCTATGTAACCAGGTTTCATTAAGCAATGGGTCCACATTTTCACTAGCCTTCCTTTTGTCACTATGTACTAATAGAAGCCCTTCTTTTTATCTTTGACTTCCCGTGCCAGATTCAATTCCAGCTGGGCTTTGGCTCTCCTAACCTCATCCTTGCACACTCAGATAGTGCCTCTGTATTCCTCCCAGGAACATATCTGCCAAATGGTGCCCTGAAACAGGTGAGACATACAGCAGCCATACTAGTTAAGCAGCTAACAGCCCCTACTATGCCTTCCAGCCCACATCTTTGTGCTTTGTTTATGTCAGCACAGTAAGTCAGTCAGTCTGAACTGATTTGGCTAACAACTGCACAAAGTGGAAATTATTTTTCAGTCAGATGAATTCTCTTATCAGAGCCATACAGATGTTTGGGCTGGAGTCGCTCGCAGGTGGAAGTCACACAGATAGGATGAATCAACAAGGAAAAGAGGAGAGAGAGGTGCCAACTATTTGAACCAACACCACCACTGAAAAGTTATTTGGCACATCCTGCACATACCAAATGGGAAATAGATTATCTAGGAGATGCAACTACTGAATCAACAAAATACCTCAGTCTAACAAAATAGCCTTTTTAAAAAATGTGAAACCTTGCTGCATGAACACCAAGCTGTTTATGGCTCGTGATATTTAAACAGACTCGGACACACACGTTTATAGGTTGTTTGGAAAGTAACTATCTATTCAGTTCCATGGTCCAGAAAAGCACATATATACAAGTTTCAGAAATTCTGTTGTGAACACTAAGCAAGCTGGACACATATCTGCTTCTTAAATTATAAGAACTGGCTTACAACAAGCCAAGAACTTATACAAAGTCATCTCCAAAGACTGAAGATTTTATACCCCAAAATATTTTTTATATAACACTTTAGTTCGTGAAAACATAGAAAATAGATTTGAATCTTGAATTAGAATACTAACAAATTGCTTACTGTTGGAATCGCAGCTGTACAGGTGTCTCTTCGAACCCGCCTCTGCATTAGGTCATGCTCCATACCATTGACTTCGGCTTTCAGGCGTTCGAGCTCTTCTTTCTCAAGCTTCAGTTCCTTTGCTAACCTCTCCATCCTTGCTCGTTGATGTAACAGCAAGGCTAACGTTTTACATGGAAGAAATCGTTACTAACACACAAACACCTGGAAAACTGAATTCTTAAGTTATGCGTAAGATTCATGAGTGACCTTTCTGGAAAAAAAAAGTGATCATAAACATGCAGCCAAATATCAGTGTGAAGATGCTTTCATGCCAAATGAACTACAATTTAGAACAAAGTTCTTCCAGAATAAAAACACATTTTAGACAGTAACTTGAAGTTGATATTACCATTTTGGTCAAAGCTTCTTTTTTTGCATTTGGTCTTTCTCGTCTCAAAAATACAAAGGCACCTGTACAAGGAGACAGCTTCTCAGGATGAAACAGCAACCTAATTATATTAATACTGTACTGACAAAAAAAAAAAAATACCAGAGGTAAGATCAGAAGGTAACGCACACTTCATATCTGCTGCTCAATAGCAGCTGACACACTAGCCTTAAGACATTAGTCAAATGTCAGTCCTGAATTGTGGGGTTTTTTCACTGCTATTACAGATTAAGCTATAATAAACTTCAAGTAGTCTTAGCTTTTCAAAGAGTATTGTAATTCTCAATACTGTAAGTTCCCCAGTGCTCAAAGGCAAAACTACAGAACTTCAATAAAACAGACTAGAGGATCCAGAAAATAAAAAGTGGGGGAAACTCAGGTGCTTCAGAGTCTTTAATTCTACAATAGAGCTGATTTACTGTCCTCTAATCTCTCTCTGCTGTTAATCATTCTCTCATATTTTTGTCACGGTACTGAAATTTATAACTCTCACTCACAAGCTGGCATTGGGTTCCCAGAGCAGCCAAAGAAAGAATTTTGACTAGCTGGAAAATAATATTCAGTTTCTGCAGGAAGCCTGTTTCTCAGTATTTCATCATGATGTAAAACTGGTCAAATTAATTAGTGTGATGCTTAGCCCTTTCTGATCTGGCAGGTTTTACCTGATTAAAGTCTACTAGGACAGAGAAAAATAAAAGAAATTTGCTGTGGGTATTCAGACAAGCACGCTGCTTATACAACAATGTTCCAGCAAACTGCTGAAATGCATGAAGATGATGTGGAATCTGCAAAATGCTATGTCATACAAAGCACCAGCCAAGCCAGCACCTGCCCTTTTCTTCACCCCTATCCAACACCAGCAAAGAGAAAACACATAATATCTCAAGAACATTTGCAAACTAGCTAAAAAAAAAGTTAGAAAAATAAGCAACAATATGACACAGCTTACTGGGGGAAGATAAAAAACTCAACAGTCAGGAACATAAAAACGATGGTGGGGTTTTTTTTATCAGATGTAAGTATTCTGTCCAAAAAAGTAGCACTATATTTTGGATTTTGTATGGATCCACCAATTCACAGCCAAAGAATAAACACTGAAAATCCTGTCCAAGAATAACATCAGATGTTTTTATAATAGAGGCACCAATATTACTGAACAAAACTGTTCTCTACGTTTTGAAGTAGCATAAGTCATCCAAGCAGAGTTTAAGAGATCACAGAATTTTTTTTAAAAAGTACAGATACCAGGTTGTGTGATTTTCCACTATTACTATCAAACCTTGTTAAATTGCAGGAGTCACACAAAGACATCTGATATGACTACGCTACAGAGCTTCGCATTATACTCTAGTACTACTCATCAGACGTGACTCACACTACAAAGAAACACTGGAAGTAGAATGACCAGAATGAATTTTTGGTAACTTTTCACAATGGTTTGTATTCAAAAGAAAATTAAACAAACTTGTTCCCTATATTAAACTGTTAAATATACTCTTCTTTAGGACTCCTTTGCTGTATTAAAGAATATAATATTTATTTTTCTATAATTTATTTCTATCAAGAGTTCAGAGTGCAGCAATACCAAAGGCTATAACGAGTCCTAGCTGTGGTAGGTATTGCCACAAAAGCAAATGCCCCCAAAAGCATATACTAACTAGTTTTATTGGTTTTGTTTTCCAAATACACAAATGTAGTCAAAGATACAAAGGCAAAACCAGATTTCTACGTTTCAGAAGATGCTTTTCTCAGTTACATGAAGCTACGTACAGTTTTCTCATGTAACTGACAATCTTTAATGAAGCTGTAATAGGAACACTACCAAAGTATATGGCATAGGAGTTACAGACCTACTAATGCTTGTTCTCCGTAAATAACATTTCTAATTGGGTCTACCAGGTACGGAACAGCTCTTTGTTGATGAGTTAGAATAGCTCAAGAGATGTAAAGCGAATAAGAAATCAAGAACTACAGCACAGCATTATAACCATTATTTCAGCTCTCTGAAGTGAAAGGAAGACTAGAAGAAGCAATGGAAGAGCAGACTCTCTTTTCCAAACACAAATCCAGAAACAAAGTACATTCTTTAAATAATTGCTGCTGATTATCATTCTATCATTATCCAAAATGATTGGTTTGAATGCTTGCAGACCAATTCATTTGCTCAATTTTAAATGTTTCAAATCTACAAAGCAGATTACTCTGAGAAAAGCAGTTTTCAGCTAAAGGTTAGATTTCAACATTTATTTATTTTTTGCTAAATTACTTAATTCTTCATTCATACGTGTAAGACTATGTTCTATCCCTATGCAGCAGAACACACATCCTAAAATTTGTCTGCCAGTCTCTTCCTCCTCTTTGAAAACTCTAAGTGGAAGAAGTGAACTTTTTATAAAGTTCTCCAAAATAGTTATTTTAATACCTTTCAAAACAAAAACATGACTTGTATTGACACCTGAAGTAATTTTAGCTGCAATCCTACCTCCTTCTCCTCTTTCACTTAATATTCTTCAATCTAAACCAAATAAATTGGATTCAAATTCCCTGCAGAAGTTAGTGCTTCAGGTTTTATAAAGCACCCGAGTACAGAACAAATACAAAAAATAATAAAATCCACGTGTAAATTTATGATAGTTCTTCAACACAGGATTTACAAACTGGACATAGAGTATATGAACAAACCACTCACTCTTCTTAGCTGCAGTATTTTCTTTTCATAAATTCCCCTAATATTAAAAGATAGCAACTTTAAGAACCTCAGAAATTCTTTATCTATTAGACTGGAATTTGGCTATTTTTTAAAAAAAATGAGAACAGACTCCTCATTAAATGATTTTTAGTGCAATTTCTATTGTTCTGTGTACAGGTTCAAAAATTCTCACTTAGTAAGAAGCAAAATCAAGCTGAAAGTGCATTTGACAATAATAAGAGTTTGTAGGGTGAGACATTTACCTTGAGTGTAAGCATAGTCATCTGATCCAGAACTAGAACTTCTCTGATACTTATGGCTTCCTTTTTCTCCTCCAGATCCTGGGATTACAGAAATAGGCTGAATAGGTTCCGGTGCTGCAGAACGCTCTTCTTGGTCCACTAAATTTAAAAGATTCTCAGTCGGTGCTCGACCTACTGTGATTTTAAAAATGGTTGGGTTTGGCTGAGATACCATTACCCGAGGAGACTGTGTTGGTGCACCTGTAGGTCCAGTTGGTTGAGTGTAGGTAATATATACTGGATTAACACTAAATGGAGGTTTGGGTTGACCCGACATACCTCTTGATGGAGAGCTCGAAGGAGGAGTAGTGGCTGCATACAGCTGGTGCTGGTTTCGCTGAGATGGTTGATTACTTATTGGTGAAGGACTTCTGTTCATTGCAGTCCCAGGTCTTTGTGGTGGCTCAACTGTAATTTCTATTTTATTCATGGAACCTTTGGATAAACCAGGTCCAGCAAAAGAAGGAAGATACGATACAGAGTGACTGCCTTGTTTTTGGAAAGTCTGGGATGCTTGCTGATATGGATGGGGTGGGACAGTTGAAGGACTAGGAGGCATGAAAACATGTGAACTTTGATGACCCAGCTGAGGAGGCTGAACTTGGTGTTGAGGAGAGCCAAAGGGAGAGGGACACTGGGATGCCGGTGGTGATCGAAAAGCTGACTGAGGGATCTGGGGTTGTTTAGGAGAATACTGAGAAGGTTGGTAGTTCTGTTGATGAGGATACACAGGTAGAGGACGGGGAGTGTAATGTGGAACTGGGCCCTGTGGCGATGAATGCCACTGTGTATTCTGAGGAGTCTGTCGTCCTGAAGAACTTTGAGATGTTTGTCTTATATAAATAGAGCCAGGAGTCCCATAAAGATTGCTTGGAATCTGTGGAAGAATTTGTAGAGCTCTGGGTACACTCTGTCCAGAGGGGAGGTTTTGTGATACTGTAACAGTAATGGGATTTGTACTGTACCGAGGTATGTGCATATACGTGGGAGGAGGGCCTTGCATAGCAGACGTGTTCATTCCTGGTTGTACGGAAGATGGCTGTGGAGGTGGCTGTGGAGGAGGAGTAGCTGCATTTCTATTCTGGTCATTCATGAAAAACGGATTGTAACTAGGAGAAGCTGCCACAACAGCGGGAGCAGAATGTGGTTCTTGAACTAAGCATATCAGCTGTTTACCTGCTGTGCGTTGTGGATCAATATGTCCATCGCTTGAACTGTGTACCAGTGTACGACCACCATTAAGTTGAGCTCCATCCCCTGCATGATAGCTGGTATGAGGATGAATACCCAGATTAATGTGCAAAAGGCTATTTCTATTCATTCTGGTGTCATCAGGGCTATGGTACTCCATATATAAGTATTTGCTGCTCTCCTGTGCAAGGACTCGACAACAGGCATCTAGGTTGTTGTTGTTCTAGGAGTAAGAATGGACAGCTACTATTGTCAAACAGCAAAAGAAAAAGCCACTGCTCAGCATTCAATAAGCATTCAACTGAAGCTGCAATCAAGCCTAGCTTGAACACAACTAAGGATAATATTTCACAGACAAATTTTGAAATAAAGGTAATACCTACTAGGTCATAGTATGCAAGTAGCACATAGCTCACGTTGCATCTAGCAAAATAATGGTAACACTAGCTACAGTATGACATATTAAAACAATCAAGTTCAGTTTTGGGGAAAGTAACGGTTAGAACTCTTGGCATCTTCTAAAAGGAACAGGTATGTACAATTGACTACTACTACTAACACAAATCAAATCAAACTAGATCAAAATTGCTAACTATGGGAAGTCGAAACAAAAATGCAGATGACTTTTTAATGTTTACATATGTGTTTACTGTTTTCACCTTTTTTTTTTTTTTTTTTTTTTTTTTATTTTTTGACTTTTTTTTTTTGTTTTTTCCTTTTTTTTTTTTTTTTTTTTTTTTTTTTTTTTACTGTTTACCCAAATATTTCTCTTTACCTGACAGTTTAAAAGCCCAACATTTTAAACCAGCTTCTCTGGTAGAACAGAATTTAATGCCTTACAAATGAAGTCAGAATAAGTATTGCTTGAAAAAGTACTGGCAATTCCATAAAGCACCTTACAATTCTGACATAATTTCAACTGCCTTTAAGAATTCCAGGCTCAAGGCTAAAAAAAGGTTTATTCATACATACATCAGTGAGGAAACCAAATAACCCCTGTAATTGTTTGATTTGTTCTGTGGTGCCAGCAGCTGAAACTATACAGACAATAAATTATGAATCAATCAAAAGTATAATGGGGAATTCCCTTTTCTTCATTCCTCTCTCTACTCATTTTAGCTTAATCTAGTCTTGTTTAAAGAACACGAATGACAGCTTTTCCAAAAGAGTAAAATCACTAGAAAGCATTCCAGATTGTGGTTTTAGTCTTTTTTTTCTCCTCAGTTTCTCATACAACAGCCTCTATCAGCTCTGGTTCAATTTTTGAAATTGAACAGTAGTTAAAGAAAAAAAATTAACTTTGAGTCAAGTTCAACTACATCTGGCCCTCAGCACCCTTTGTTACATGTGATCCAAGACTGGTAGCTTTTGTGACATACAGCACCTCCTACCAGAAGCGTGTACATATTTATACATACACCCATACATCCCTGCCTGCCTTAGTGTGCTAAGATTACCATTCTAAGGAATATACATTAGTAACGATTTCACTTCTATTTTAAACACTATCACTATATAAAGTTTGTATACATATTAATACTCATGTGGCCTTGCAATACAATTTTCAACAGCCTATCCAGTTGCTTGAAAAGTCACAGTTACATTTCTTTGCTAAAGGACTGATACCTAGTCAGTCTTAATACTAAAATGAAGATGACTTTCCCAAAGTTTCACATGATTTCAGACAAACACACATATTCAGTGTCTCTTCAGATGAAGACTTACTACCAAACATGACAGAAGACAGGAGAGTCCAGCACTTACTATGTATGGCTCTCACACTATAGATACTTCTCCCTGACTACTTCCCCTTCATGCCAAGCTCCCCTTCTACATCCCAATGGTCAATGGGGATATCCAGACGTATCACAGAAAAATTTAAAACCAGAACATGTGGAAACCAGACCTTGTAATAATAACCAGCACCACAGTGCCAAGACAGCAGTCTCAAAAAAGTTAACCGCTACCATCAGCCACTTTGCCATCTACAGGACTTCACAAAGAGTCCTCAGCTTCCTTAGGTCGCTTCATCAGTGTGGAGGTAAAGAGAACATTGATAGTACAAGCCCTAATCTGATTTCTCAGGGTATGGAATGTATTTATCATTCCAAAGGACTCTCAATTTTTAATAGGTCCAAAACTCACACTGACTTAAATCTAGAGCATGTATTGCAATAGGTTAATTGAAACCAGCTCGTTTATCTCAAAACATATATAAAGTGGGTTTGGAAACAAATGCTACACTTAAAAAAATGACAGATATTTGCAGTGTCATGCTAACTAGCTATACAGAACACCGTATTATAGATATAGAACACCATATGCTTCTGAAGCATTAGGGGTTCTTTCATTTTATCAGTTTACAGATGTCTATGACTTAAACATAGTTCATCAAAAGGATCGTGTACTTAACAGTACAGAAGAGACGACTATCAGAATAAGTAAAGCTTTATACTGCAGGGCTTTATACTTACCTTAAAGCAATTCATTTGTATTTGTATGGTTTAGAAGACACACAATGCAAAAATTACAGCCACAGTTATAAGTAAACCTACTCTTCTGCCAGGAGCAGGTAGGATGCAAATACAGCTTTGCTACTTTCATACGCAGCAGTTTATGGATTAGGTTCCACTTTAGCCACAGTCACACAAGGCCAAATCAGATCTTACATGTTTCTATTCCACTCCCGAATCTTCCCATTAACAGAATGTATTCCCAGATGACCACGACTTTGAAAAACGATTGTGTGTGGTCCCTTATTATCACTTTCAATTTGTGATTTTAGATGAAGGTGGAAGGAAGTAATGGAGAAAAAAACAAAAACAAAACAAACACCCCTACAACTGTCACCTGACTTGGAAAAAGTAAAAATAAACCTTCGGTCAGCTGTGGCAAAAAGATGCTATGAAGACAGAAAGTCTTTAGATTCTTAGCTAAAGCCAGTACCTTATCTTGGAAGAATGAGCCATTTTTTGCTAAAATCTTCTCCAGTATACATAAGCTATTTATGTAGCCATCATTAATAATCATCTCATTAGCCACTTTCCTTACTCCCTGTATGCGTACAGTCACAGGATAGCCGCATAGACAAGGAAGAATAGTCAGTGGAAAAACCTCCACAAATCTAAGTGAAGAATGATAAAAATCTTTGTACATAAAAGATAGGACAAAAATTAAAGCAGTGGAGTCTTAGACCCTTTCGAATACAAAACAGAAGAATGAAAATCTATGCCTTATGTATAGTACTAAAAAGAATTTTCATACTACAAAAATAAAATAGACAGACTCTTAAATTAAAATTCTTCACCATACCTGAAGCATGCACTGAGATAGCACACCTTCAGGTATCTCAGGGAAACGTTGTCGGAGATCCTGGAGTACCTGCATGTCGAGTTGTTGACTGCCCTGTGCCATGCCAGATTGATGATGTTTCAGATTACCAAGAAGTGGAAGTCAACAGGCCTTCCAATGATTATGGTCTTCTGAGGCTTCTGGCATTTTCTGTAAGAAAACACAATCAATTACCTTTTAAGCCATCACAACAACTCTCCTTCCTTCCCCAGCTGCATGTGTAAAAGAATTACTGTATTACATTTTTAGATATGAAGAGAGACAATAGGTTAAACACAAGAGTGGGAATCATTACTTCTCAAATTCTAATATTAAAACACTTAACGTATCACAGGTACGTCTACATGACATTTCACTGGAATGTGCCAGTTCAGGTCTTTACACAGTCCTATTGCAGTACCATGTAGGCATAACTTAATCTGACCTGCATAAAAGCAAATTGTTACATATTTACTTCCAGTGAGTTTCTGAACAGTTTGTAGAAAAGTCTGAAGTTATCACAAAATATGCATGTCTTTAGTATTTACAACATGCTAGAAATAATGGGCTGGAAAACTAAGTAGCACAATTATCCAAAAATACTCCTCTAGTAACAGGGCTTAAACTCTTTCCTCTTTACATCACTACAAATCCAAGAAGTTGGAAGCAATTTTTGTGACACACAACAAGAGTTAAACAGAATTTAGAGAGTCCTTTTCAGGATAATGATGAGCATCTATTTAAGATTTTTGTAAAGCACCTATTATATTCATACTAACATGATTAGTGACAAAAAAACCTTCTATCCATTTCAGGATTCTCGTATTCGGCAGTGAAAAGATTCTATCTGAACTTCAATACCCAAGGACTACTAGAAGGCGAATACTGTCTGAGTCAACAAATGCTTTTCTCACTTGTGGCTTATGATCACAGCAGTAATCAACAGGTACCTGAAGTCTAAGTGAAGATTCACAAAGACTTTGTGTGAAAGTGGTGCATGACACAGCCCCTGTAATATACCTGTCATTGCTAAGCTTCAAAAACCTTTCCAACGTTAGTACTCAGTTGAACACTTAACTGCAGAGAATGTAGTGTCATGCTCAAAAACGGAAATGAAAGTCAGATACCAGCAGAGTTTGTATTCAAGTAATATATCAGTTACTCAAAGCCCCAAGTTTACATCATGCTTATCTCAACCTCAGTGCACTTGTGGGTGGTACCTAGTATACGTATTTATTACAGTCAGCTTTCACTTGTTAGCTCAACTTCTAATAGCAGTCTAGAGCAGTACAACAGATCACCACAGACATACGCATACCTTTATGCACTAATAAATTCCAACAGCTTCCTGTATGTTTCCTAAGAAAGTCTCTTAGTTTCATAGGCAAGAAAATAGAACATTTATCTTCAAAGAAATATAAACGGTCAGCTTTAGGGTAAAAAAGCAGCTTTGGTGGTTTGTTTGTGGTTTTGTTTTGCTTTGAATTACTTTGCCTATTTAATAACCACGTCTTTTTTTTTTTTCATCTCTTTCTAAATATTATTTCCATAATAATGGAAATAAGGGGCATAACGACAACAACCACCACCACAACAAAAACAGAAGTCAAGTCCACTATCCGGCTAGTTTGTATGTGGACAGCTCTTAACTGACATTAACATTCATTAAATAACGCATATGCTTACAGGAAGGCTTGCTCTCTGTCATATCTGATATATTCTAGTATCCAGTATCTGTCACATTACACTTTTTCCAAGATAAATGAGACAAGTTTAACAAACAGTAAGATACATGAATTATCCTGCTGTGATTTAAGAAATGCTACAATAAATTTACACTGTATAGTCACAATGCATTTCTGTCCACTGCAGTAATGCTGCAGATCCCTTTTCTTTTAAAGGGTAATGTGTTTCCACTGACTACAAGAGTCAGCTTAAACTTTGTATCTGCACTCACAGTAGGAGATCTTTCATAAAACTTTTTTTTCATAAATGACAAGTATCATACTCTGAAAGGCAGACCACCACAAGAATTCTCAAAGAAAACCTGACAGCAATCAAGCTGTATGTGTTTCTAGACAACTCTCCTTTTCCCAGGAGGCAAGGGATGAAGTGCAGTAATGGAGGAATACCCTACCAGAATAAATTGCTGTCAAAATCCCTGTGGAATAGCAATGACAGTATCTGAAAATCTGAAATAGAAGATAATAATTTTAAGAATTTCATTTGCATGAGCAAAAGCCTTTGCATCACTTCTCAATTCAAATGAAAATTCAAATGGATCTCCAGTCTGTTCAGCCATGTTGCATCATCAATACAGATGTTTTTCTACACCACTTTTATAATAATCTAAATTAATAATTTCTTTGATGTTTTTCTAGCAGTTCCTGAATATGTGTGGTGAGTAGAGGTGTAACACCCAAAGTAATTGACAGTTACTGGACAACTATGAATTTTATCAGAGTTCTCTTCTAAACACAAATAATGGGTAACCCATTTCCATTCTCATTTTCAAGAGTTGAAGCTTCTAGCCTTTACAGTTACACATATAGCCTTGAAAGTCTATAAGAAACCCGAAATAATTGCCTTGAGAAGCATGAACACACAATCATCCAGAACTCTACTGTGGAAAATTGTTATTTTTCAGCCCATACCACAAAATTCACTACTGCCATATCTAAGAGCCCAGCATTTTGTCCTGCCTATTCTGTTTGACCTGCCTACAACCAACTGCACATTTTCTGTTCTAAGCAGGCACAAACTGGCTGGAATACCATACCTGCTTCCCATGTTGCTCCACAGCACCAGGCAGGTGGAGAAGCAAGTTGTTCAGAGCACCAAGAGTTTACAGCGCAGACTAGACAGCTAAGACACTTAGACAAGAGCTCCTACTGAGCCACAACAGACTAGGAAAGCAATCCTTCAAGGCTTCTTTCTCTCACAGCATGCACAGGCTAAGGGACATCCCGAAGTGCGCTACACTAACAGCCTTATAATCACTGAAAGTTCACAGAGCAGAACACACCAAAACAACTCCTCAAAGTCAGAAAAAAAGCAAGCCACTTTGTCTGTAACTTTCAAAAATGAGGATACTGAAACTCCAGTTGTAAAGTATTTCAGGAGGATGGAATAAATTAACATTGTTACATAGGCAGTAGTTGTAATGGCAAAAACACAGGACATTGTTGCAGACTTGGTCCCGCTGTATTAACACACAGAGATGACCTTGGGAGCCACTAGTAAATCTTGGGGATTATGCAAAGTGTGACTCAAGTCCTAAACAACTACACTAATCGGTTTTTCACACCTTTTACATGCCCAAATTATATGTACAGGAAAACAGTATCTTAAATTCAATCTTCTTTACTTAAGCCATTTGTGTACCTGGCAAGTTAAGAAAAAAGTCAACAATTGCATCAATCAACTGATGCCCCTTTTCTGAAAGAAAGAATAAAAAAGCAGAATTACTATAGTCTTGATACTCCCCACAGATGTGTTCAAATATATACAGAAGGAAATCCATTTCACTACTGTTATTTCTAAAGCACTAAATCACCTAAAATGAAGATACATGACTCATCAGTAATGAGATCCAAGTGAAAAATAAATTAAGTCAACACATAATACTATCTGGAAGTTTATAAATTATGTACTGGTGTACACTTATACACAATACACAATATTGTAGACAATAACAATGTATGCAGCAAGTAAAATAATTCCTGAGTGAATTTCCATAAAACAGGTTACCTGGAAGACAGTTGCTCAGGCCTCATCAATTTAAAGTTAATTGTAAAGAGTTTTATAGTAACAGTTGGGCCTTGAAGGATAAGAGGGAAAACCCAAGACAAAACACAATAATAAACAAATAAATTTATAAAAGCAACACCTCAAAGCCATCCTGCTTCTATATGTTTTACATAAATTCTTTCATCTTAAAAGATTATTTAAATCTTTAAAGGATGAGAAAACACAGATGGATTTAAGTAGAGTCAGGCAAAGAACCTCATTTTTTCCTCTGAATACCACACAAATGTAATTCTTAAATGTCATTGTCCTGACTTCTAATCAAATGCGTGCTGACACCTACAGATAAAATGTGGATTTATTGAATGGCATTCACATGAACTCAATGCAGTATTTTTAAAGTAATCTGGTTTTTTCTGCCTTGTTCAGCTCTGATCAAAGTGCTGAAGATAAATTTTGGCCTTCAGATTCATAAATGCAGTAGGAATTTTTTTTTATTTAAGCACTCATAGGGCAATTCCTTCAAAACCCTTGCACTGGACTGACAGGCTTTTAGCCAAAAGGTAGAAGAGGACTGAAGGGAAGCCAGCAAAGCTAGATGCTCTATTTTGTCTAAACATTGCAGGAATTGGAGTAGGAAGATACAATGAAATTTAGGTGGACAAAACAGTAAAACAATATCAACTTCTTAGTTATGGAATCTTCAGAACACAAAAAACAAACTTAACACAAACCAGTAAGCTGAAAGAAAAATTAACATATATAACATCTCCATCAAGTAAAAGTGACTTTGACTTTAGAGACATTTAAACGCATTTGCAGTAAATATGAAGTAGCAAATCCAATGTACAGTTACACAATCCAAACTCACAGTAATTCTTAATTGTTATCTGTTAATATATTTGCCAATACCAACAACTCCTTCCTGTTTATATTTGCTACTGGCATTTAGGCATAAAACTTCTGAGTAACACTGATATCAGTGCTACTCAGAACTTTGTCCCAGGTCTGAGTCAAACAGAAGAGCACTAACAGTCTGAATACCGTCCCTGAACAGGAACTTTCCTTATTTCTCTGCTAGTGAATAGACAGAGAACTGTGAAGAGTGAGGACAGGAACAGAGGAAGCACAAAAAGATACAAACTTCTAAAATTCAGTTTCATTGATCTAGATCCATACAGAATTTTACTTTTGGCAAGAATGTCAGTGTAAATAAAAATTAGATCATGTCCAAAAGAAAAATACAATGTTCTTTAAATGGAAGAACAATAATAAAAGCTTAACACTCATTTGTAATCACCTTACTAGAAAATACCATTGTTTTCAAAGTCATGCTA